ATATTAATTGTAACAGCTTTAATATTCTGTGTATGGCCAAATACTAAAACAAACACTGTTACTAATTGTATAGACTCGATAAACACAGGCATGAGGTTTGATAAAACTTTTACATGCTGGTGTGATTCTGAAACTCTTTAACTGAATTTAGAGCAAAGAAATTTCTTTTTAAAGTTTGGAAAAGCACAGTGAAGGTTATATGGACGTTTTACACCAAAGACCACGAGAAATAAGTCTTGAATATATGACTATTTTCAATTCACCCCAATCAAAGTTATATTGCAACTAAGACTCAAAGAGTGTTGAAAGACATTTGATGGAAACGGAAACACAATCCTAAACAGGTAACAAGGCATAAATTTTGACTCCTGTTCAAAAAAGGTGGAAGGTTTATGGACCAAACGATAGATGAACTTAGCTAGTCATACCTGGAACAAAAATAAATAATAAGCATTTTAGAATGTAAGCAGAGGTTCCACGTGGAATAAAATCTAAAACTCTCATCGTCATCAATCTCAAGAAACGGTCAGCAATCAAAGAAAAAATGATGTTAGCTGTGTTCTAGAATGCAAACCCGATTCGTTCATTCATACGACAAGTTTTGATTGTTAACCGTCACAAAAAGAATAAGAAGAGTAAAGTTTTATCTCAAGAGATCAGAATTTTTGTGAAAGAATGAGACATAATACTTCACAAAACCACTCACCTCAACAGACATGACCAGCCCAGTCGAAATTTATAAAATTTCTCTTAAAACTATTCTTGACAAAAATAGGTTTAACAATTTCACTAAATGTCACTGCACTTTTAAGTATTGATGGGGTTTTCCTTTCAAGCCTTTCGTTCGAAGTAGTATGGAACATCTTTATCTTGATTCTGTCATTATTTTCTCTACGAGTTAAGAATGATGACCATTTTACTTGATGCTATTGCATGTTGTCCATTGAGGCGGTTACTTTTGATTAGCACGTTTCTTCGTTTGTGATAGTGCAGCGCCAAATCACGAGGCTTGAAGAAGGAAGGCCTTCGTTAAGAAAAGCTGCAGGTTTAATCCGTTATGATTTAAAATACTACACTATAACGTATGTTTTTTTTTTCAATAAAAATTCTTTTTTATGTTTCACTTCGAAGAGGTTCCACCCCCAAAAAATGATATATAGCAAAATCGCACGATATATCATGTTCAATTGTGAATGCACAACTCGAATTTAATGAATAAGTTTAGCTTACCTAAGAAAGAGAAAGATGGCCCGTTGCGTGTAAAAACCTTGGAAATTTAACACTCACAAGAAAATAATGACTGATCTAGGAGCAGAGTGAAAACAGCGACTAATCTACCTAACGTTAGGTGAATGGATGTTATAGCAAAGTAAATGGTCAAATATTGCCTAGATTAAAAAGTTGGAGGAAGTTGTGGAGTGTCATGATCTTCGACGTCCTGAATGAAGATGATACTTAAACGAAAATACGTTCTCACCTGGAGAACCGAACGTAACATTGATCCATTTGCAAAAGGCCAAAACATCTCAGATAGATACGGAAAATAAAACATTGCTTTCTAATCAAAGATCAACATAGAAATGTGGTGTGTAGCTACATAATGTTTTATTACGCCTCCGATGTGAGATGACACTTGTTAAACTCTTTCAAGAACACGGGTATTAAGAACATCATTAGATTATTATATTTTGCACTTTTTCTTATTTTCCAAACTTAGTTCTTTTAAATTAGGTGCCTACGAAGATTCGCTAAAAGTGAGCTTAGCATGATGGAAAAATAGCCCCGACTTAACAAAAGTTTTAACGTCAAAATATTTATGTTATTATTAAGAGGAAAGACCAACATATGTTTTTATTATTGAATTATATTTTTGATCCTTTTACAACATTCGAAATTTGGTTTAAACTTTTTGTTTTCTTGCATCAACGGGAGACCAGAAATAAGTATGGAGAATTTGAGCGTCTTCTTTACGGTAAAAAAAGACATTTATTTGCGAATTCTTGGAAAAAATCAAATATATTTCGGATTTTATTATGACAGAGACTTATTTACAAATGAATTATTTTAGAAATGGTTATTTTTAGAAACTTTCGTTAAAAGAATTTTTCTTATATCATTGTTGATCCTACTTACTTAATTTTGTGAAATTTGGATAACTTAATTTTTGTCTGATTTAAAGTTTATCTTAGTTGTAAGCCGAAATCACTGGAAAATTTAAATAATTTATTTCTGCTTGTAAAACAGGGGCCCAGGATACGGAAAATCGATCCTGAATCGTAAAATAAAAAAAACATAATAAAGCTAAAACATTATTTAATTGGAAAAAACTTTTAATTGCTTTTATGAATAAGATATATTATGGACACTATTGTCTTAAGAATAAATATTCAATGAATGATCTACTTTTACAAGAATTTGGATTATATATATATATATATATATATATATATATATATATATATATATATATATATATATATATATATATATATATATATATATATATATATATATACATATATATACCTCCAGAGAAACGTGATACCTAAGTTTTAAAATGAAGTTTTAAAAATGAATAATATTTCTTGAGGTTTTTATTTTAGTTTTAATTTCAAGCTATTACATTACATTTCATATATCCAATAAGCAAAATAATTTGATGTATTTTAAACTAAATTTAAATTGATTGACAGGAATTGTTATTTTAAACGATAAAAATCGCTGATTTTAGCCATTTTAGTAATCTGTTAGCGTAATATAATTCTTTTTTTCAAAAATCTTTCAAAAATAAAATTTATTTTGTTGAAAAATTATTTGAGGGAATTAGATTATGTAGTGTTTAATTTATCTGCTTTGAAACAAATATTATTTAAGTTTAGTTTTAAATATGGCAGCAATGTACTTTTAACATGGATATAGGTGTTTATTTATTTTATTTATTCATAGCCTGACAACTTTATTGACAAACGGAAATTTAACCAATTTTTACGAGAGACATATCAGTAAATGTTATGAACAAATGCAACGCGAACGCTTTTTTTTTATATAAATTTGATCTACCGAGTAAAATTTTTAAAAAATAGGAAGATATTCTAAATAATCAAAAGTTTAATTGAATTTTAGTTCTTTGGTTTTATATTTACTATGCTTACCGTACTTTTTATCATAATGTCATGTATGGACATACGTATTTACAAATGCCAGCACGTCTATACATATACACATAAAAAAAACTTCAGAATTCTTTTTAATATACTGGAAGTCGTTGAATTGAATTAGGCTTTTTCATTTATGATTAGTAAATATATTTTTACTTCATAACAATAGCACGTAACCCATCTAAATATATAGAATCATATATAGAATAATTTTTGAAAAATGTAAAACTTTATGAATTACTGTAATTATTTTCTTTCAAAAATTGAAATCAATTCTTACAAAAATTAATTATTCATCGATATTTTTTTTTCTTAAGACAGTCGTGTCTATAACATATCTTATTCATAAAAGCAATTAAAATGTTTCCTGATTACATAATGTTTTAGTTTTATTCTAATTTTTATTTTGCTATTCAGAGCTGATTTTCTGTAACTAAGGAGCGGATTATGTTTTACAAAGAAAATAGATGATTTACATTTTCCAAAGAGTTCTATTTATAACTAATATAAAAATGAATTTCTTAAAATTGCATAAAATTAAACAAGTGGGAGCTAAGATATATAAAACAATTTTACCAGTATTATCCATAAAGAGCACATTTCTAAAATAATTTTATTCATTTGTGAATAAGCCAGAAAACTTTCATTAAAAACCGACAAATATTTGATTTTTGCAAGAATTTCGAAATCAGTGTTATTCAAGGTAAAAAGACGTTAAAATTTCACATATCAGTTTATGATCACACGCTGACGGACAGAAAAAAATACATTTTTTTTAACCAAAATTTTGAATGTTTCTCAAGGAGAGATGGCCCAGTGGATAAAAGTCATTGGCGGAAGTCATCCAGCGACATGAATCAAAATATTGTGAGTTCAATAGCTGGACACAGCATGATGAACAATAACTTGGGGAGTTGAGTTAAAGGGGTTGTAACAGATACTGAGATATTCGCAAGAGGCATGACACGTAGAACTAGAACTATCTACCCTGGTGGACGAAATAAAGGGATCTGTTCGAAATTCCAATCACCTAAAGTTGGCCGGAGGAGTCAACAGTCGAAACGTCGTGAATATATCAGCAAAGATAAGGACCACTGTCCGAACAATGTAAATTGTATAAATAATTACAATATCTCATCAAAGAAATATAGACAGCTTCTAAAACGGATGAATAAATATAATGCAATAATTACAAAAATATTTGTTTTTTTCTCTTAATAACAAAAATTTTGACGATTAAACTTTTGTTTTTATAATTTTTTAGTTATTTTTCTTTCATGCCTGCTAAATTTTACCAAATCCTTCGCAATATATATATATATATATATATATATATATATATATATATATATATATATATATATATAACATAGAAGTCAACACTTAGTCTGTTTCATGCTAGCATGAAACAGACTGTCGCCTCTAAATGCTGAATTCTATGTTCACTATTTTCACACTTCATCTTTATATTTTCAGCACTTTATTCTATAAATATTGAGCACTTTTATTTCTTTAAATATATATATATATATATATATATATATATATATATATATATATATATATAGAGAGAGAGAGAGAGAGAGAGATAAATATACATACAGATAGATAGATAACTATATATATAATAGATGGCCACTCGTATTTGAGTATACCGTCTATTAAGGCGGCAAGCCAATCCATATTGCAGACGCAAGAGCACGCACATTCGTTTTATAATTTTGAGTTATTTTTTCTTTCATGCCTGCTAAGCTGTTAGCAAGTCTTTGGATATATATATATATATATATATATATATATATATATATATATATATATATATATATATATATATATATATACAGAGAGAGAGAGAGAGAGAAGGAAAAAATAGATAGATAGATAGATAGATAGATAGATAGATGACCACTCGTATTCGAGTATACCGTCTATTAAGGCGGCAAGCCAATGCCTATTGCAGACACAAGATCAGGCACATTTGTGTTTGTTCAACACCCACAGAGCCTAGCTGTGGTTTCTACTGCAACTATGCTGAGCAGATCTTAGTTACAATTTCTATGAGATAGCGTGTTATCTAGTGTGATCAACAATCTGGACAGGGCCAGCACACTCAAACCCTCGGTCACGATGACTTGTAACTTCGTGCTAGCACAGCTACCGATGGCCCGCAAGGGTTCCGTCTACCCAATTTCACTCACAAGGCTTGGGGCAACCCCTGGTATGGCTTTCAGGCACTTACCAAATATGCCACACGCTGGGATCTCTCGCTATAGAGTTATAACATCAGGAAGTCCTGACAAATCAACAATTGAGATTCTAACCCAGGCCTCATGGTCAGAAATCGAACGTTAAAACCACTAATATATATATATATATATATATATATATATATATATATATATATATATATATATATATAAATATATATAATTTCATTGATGACTATATTTTGTGGGAGGTAGTAGCAATATATTGATGACATTCCATATGAGATATAATATGAAAACTATTCACCAAGCAGATGTACACTCATTCCCTCCAATCCTGGTATCCTATCAAAATGTTAATTTATTCTATAACTCAGTTGACCTCGAATTGTTAGGGTTCAGTCGGTCATTCACATAAAATTACGTGTCGTAGAACGAATAAAATCCAGTTCAGTACAGACAAGATGGCGTCTAGTGTTTGGACTTTCTGTTTGAAATGAAGTTTAGAAACGGTGACATGTCTCGGCATCCGCATTATGTTGATTTCTTTAAATATTTTTTTTTGTTTTATTTTCGTGTCATACTCTCTTGTTCTTCTGATTCCAAATCTAATGAACTTCGCCTTCCCCAACCAGTAATAATAAATGTCATGGCACAAGCTAATTTGTCGAGCAGAAGTACTTTTTAATTTGCCAAGACGCCATAGCTAGTATGTCTTTTATAGCAAAGTTATTTGCGATTGGCAACGGTGCAATTAGGTCAGCTGATAATATCACCCAGCTGATGCGTGAGGGTTTATCACATTTGATTGAAGAATTCAAGTAGTAGATATGTCTGATGTGTTAGCGAAACGGTTCGGATTTCGAAGGTTCAGAAGAACATGTCTAATATGGTCGAATGCTTGATCTGATCTTATGATTCTGTAGTGCCATGTTCAAAAGGGGGATGACCATTGCAAAGATCTTCAGGATTATACTTGTACGATTAATAGTTTTTTTTTCTTCTAGATTTGTTTTCATGATTCAGAGATTTTCTTCTAGACTGGATTCCACTATTCAGTGTTTTCCTTCTAGACTGATTTCTAAGATCCAGTGTTTTCATTCTAGAATGGCTTTCACTATTCAGAATGTACATTCTAGACTGGTTTCCACGGTTTAGAGTTTCCTTCTAGATTGTTTTCCATAATTCCGAGATTTTCTTCTAGACTGGTTTCCAAGATTCAGAGTTTTCCTTCCTGACTAGTTTCCACGATTCATAGATTTCCTTCTAGATTGGTTTCCAAGATTCAGAGTTTTCCTTCTAGAATTGTTTCCACGATTCAGAATTTTCCTTCTAGACTTGTTTTCAGGATTCAAGATTTTCCTTCTCGACTGGCTTCCACTATTCAGAGTTTACATTCTAGACTGGTTTCCACGATTTAGAGTTTCCTTTTAGAGTGTTTTACATGATTCAGAGATTTTCTTCTAGACTGATTTCCAAGATTCAGAATTTTCCTTCTAGACTTATTTCCACGATTCAGAATTTTCCTATAAACCTGGTTTCCACCCAAAACTATAAAGCATAGTGTATTCCTTAATAACGATAGTTAGAAAGAGAGTACAACTGACTTACCGGAATTTGATCGCGACTCTTTGAATCCATTCACCGTAATCATATTCCTGACACTATCTTAAATGAAAGATACAGAATTCATATTATATTTTATGTATAAAAACTAAACTCTAGGAGAAAGAAAGATTACTTTTAGTAACTGATGACCAAATAACTTATTAAAATTTTAAATATTAAGTCATCATCACAATTTATATATGAAATTTCAAACAACATTCTCCTTACAAATAAAATTGCTTATTCCTTGTGTATTTTATGTTTTATTAAATCTTTTAACGCTTTCAAATTGGAACAAACGTAAATATTCTTCTGTGATGAATTTTGGTAAAATGTGCATTTTACATCCGATATTCTATTGCTATAGATTCATAAAAATGAGGAAAAATAACAAAAAAATGTTTAAAAATTCTTAGAAATTTTATCTCTTCAAATCCGTATCGTAAATCATACTTTTTATTCAGCGTGTTTCACATATGAATTTAGAGCTGACATATTTAATCAAATAAATGTCTTTCTGACGGAAACTAAAAAAAAAATTAAATATCTCAAACAGCACGAAATGTTTTTTTTTTCTTAAAGTGCATTAAACTAATCTCTAATTCAGTTTTCCGATCGATTACTGTGATATGCATTGTTACAAAGACATTTTGTCCATAGAAATCACTTCTTCATAGAAAAAAGATGACAAAGGCAAAAAGTCGAATTAATATTGACCATGGTTTTTTATGTGTATATGTTTGAAAGATTATCGTACTGAAATATTTGCTAACAGCAATATTTAAGGAATTTCAACAAAAATCTTAGTTATACAGTGATGGATTTTTCATGGTTCTTGATAAGGATTTTATTTGCTCCAAAGGCTGTAACACCTTTGACGTCATTTGACAACCAAGCTCTCATCAGATCTTAAGTGGAACTTGTATATACGATCTATCTCCAAAGGCGCTGAAAAATTTGTCAGCAGCCTGCACCCTTCCAAAAAATACCTAACTCCTCCTACTAATGTGTATATTTAGTAGAGTCAGATCAGTCCAAATATCAAGTACTGCTGTTACGTGTGGGCCAGATTTGTATCAACCATCAATGTATCGAGTCTAATAATGTTTACGCAGCCTTGCGGACGTAGAACCTTACAACCCCTTTCACACAGTTTAAATGTTGCTAACATAACGCAAATATCTTACTTTTTTCATGGCAGACATTCGACCTAGTTATATTTCCATGGTTCAACAGGCCAGATATTCGAGGTTGGGACCGGCCATACCGCGTACAATGAGTCACTAATATTCACCTCCTTCATATTCTGTTGCTTCTATTCAAACTGCGTTTTCTTCAGAAATCCTGCATTGTAAAACGGACTCCAGAATGTATGCTTCCTGATCGCTACAATCTTAAACTCATGAAGTTGATGGACAACCGATATCTAGCCACCATATATTCATAATATGCACACATTTCTCTTCATATATTCGCTTACAACACTCTATATTGATTGCCTCTTATTGTGTAAAAAATATTTAAAAAATGCTTTTGTTTTTATTTCGCCGAATCAACGTAAATTGGATGACCATTTTTAAATATTAAGTATTCTCTCATTAAAATATTTATGAAAATTTACATTATTAATATTATATAATAATTAACGTTGTGTACTTTTTTATATCCTACGTGTCCCCTCCTATATGATCAAATTGAAAAAAAAATAATATTTATAATTTTTTCAATAATATAATATGATATTTATTATTAATAAAGGATCATAAAATATACTAAAATACCTATTTTCCACACGGTTTCGATTACAAACTGACATCAAAACTTCACTATTTCAGAATAAATCTAAATAAAGTTGATAATTTTTGTATTAGATTGAATTGAAAACATTAAAACCAGAATTCTAATCATGAATTACTACATGCAAAATTATGCATTCGATAAGTATAAACTATGCATAAAATGTAGATTATAAGAACGGCTACTCAATGAATAATATTTTTTATAGAATTTGTTAGATCATAATTAATAAAAAGAAAATATAGAAAAAAGTGTATATATAACACCATAATACTGCTGGGCACAACTGAGAAGACAAAATGTTTTAAATTTTCATTGGTTATTAAACACCGCAATATATAATATATTACGTCATATTATAGTGAAATTATTCAGTATAATTTCCCTTTGAAGTAAATGAAAGTCTTATTTGATGGCAATATGATTTAATAATAATATGCTAGTGCCAAAATTTTAAAGCTTCATAAAATTACAAATTTTATATGGCTGTGATATAAAGCTTTCACTGATTCCAGGAATTAAATTTAAAAGCTATAATTTTGAACATAAACTTAATCTTTTAAATTCGTTGTCCCAGGAAATGGTAATGATTTGAAAAAATATTCATATCAAACAACAACTTTCAAATTGAGTGCAATACTACGGTTTCAAAATCAGGAGCTTTTATTTTGAATTGTGTGTCTTGAAATGCCTAATGTGATATGCAACTGAAAAAATCTTCAAGTGAGACTTTTTCATTTTAGCAATTTTATAGAGAATACTGACTGCCAAGGAAAACTTTTTAAAAACAAGTTATTAGAAGAAACATATCAATAATGTAACTGTGTAAACACTTCAGTGATTTCTAGTCAAGTTATGAATTCTGAATATTCCTTATCTAATATAATGAAATATATGTAATTGTGATGTTTGTTATGCAATAAATATGCCATCAAATATTTTGAGAAACAAAGTAGTAAAGAAACGGATTGGTTCAAAGTTTCCTCGGACATTTTTTTTTTATTATTTGTGTATTCTGGATCTCTGCTTTATTAAATCTCAGAACGTTATTTCAAAGACTTTGTTTTATTTCATTTCAATATTTAAATTTTCTATCAATTGCCTTCAATTTTATTTCATGCTTAAACTACTATCTATTCATGTACACCTGCAACGGACTAATAATCTTGTATTCGCCTTGTCATTTTTCAAGATATGATCAATCGGGTCTCTCGAAAAGCTCCTGCACCTTTTAGGTATAAACCCCGATGGACTTTTAGCTTTCCCCGTTGTGTACGGACTCATCTTGTCTGCCCAGGCAAGCTCATTAGACATAC